GTTGAAATGACATGCTTCCAGCCGCGGTTGCCTTTGATCGTCCGAGGCGCAAAGTTGTTGAGCCGAGGACGGCTCTGCCTCATGGAAGGGGGGAGGGGGTGATTTAGGGGATCTGCGAGCCATCCTCACGCACTCGCACCACGCAGACATGAAATCTCCGCACTCAGCATAGCACACACCAATCACACGCACGGGTATACACTAGACGAGGGTCAAGTGATAATAGGCACTGACGTCGCACGGACTCGGCATGCGAGACGGACGAAGATGTGGATTGGGAATGAGGGCGGAGATGGAGGGTTTAAAGGGGGCTGTTAAACGCGTGTTTGGGGTTGGTTTTAGAAACTAGTGTGGCTGTGGTTTGAATAACAAAAAAGTGTCTAACGAGTATCTGACTTGTAGCTCTAGCGTGGCTGTTCCACACCCACCTCGTTACCTCAAAACACTCTCTGCCCTCACCTCGTCACCTCTTCACACTCCCTTACCCTTACCTCGTCACACTCCCTCACGTCGTCTCAATTCCGCAAATAGTCTTTAACCTCATCAACGTCTCTCTGAACCTCATTGCCTCCCCTCACCTGCTCTCACACCCGCTCGTCACTCACCTCATTTCGCCATTGCCCCCCTCACTCCCTCCACCAAACCTCGTCGCTCACCTCATCGTCTCTCCCTAGCCCCCGTCATCTCCCTGATGATGGTGCTGGTCGTATGTATGTTGAACATCTGTCACACCGGTGGGAAGGTGGGCGGGGAGGGGAAGGCCAATTCAACACAAAATAATAATAATCAATAAAACACAATCAAGCAACAAAAAATATGATTGTTTTACTTCTAGCGCCACAGTGTTACTGACGAATGTGTTTGTTGATATTTTCAGTCTGAAAGGGGCATCGGCTTGGCCGTAATGACATTGCCATTAACTCCCTCCACCTCTCCATCTCCCCCTCCTCTCTCTGTCTGCATCCCTCTCTGTGTCTCCCCCTCCTCTCTGCGTCTGCCCCCGTGTGAGCGCGCAGGTCGAGTACATGTTCGTTTCCTTCGATCACGCGGCGAGCAGGGCCCGCGTTCTGTTCGACGCAGAGGAGCTGATCAACGACTTGAGAGCCATGGACGAGGAGGCCAACCCGGGGTGAGACCTCCTCCTCACCCTCCTCCTGCCACATGCTCACAGCAGAATGGCCGTTCCCCAATGGCCCCAAGCAGTTTTTAAAACTCAACACTTTGCGTAAATTGTGAGAATTCCCACTACTCCCCCCCCTCAGGGAAGAGCAGGAGGAATGCACGCAGGCTGGAGACAAGCAGGAATAATGACACACAGAGGTGGTGAGGGCAGTTTGGTACGGCGAGACGATCCCAGAGGAATATATTTTCCCATTCCATTGTCGTAAAGTTTTGGAATCGATTGGATAAAAAAAGTCCAGCCTCACCCATGCATTTACTAATGAGCCAAGAATGTCTGTTTGTAACACGTGTGACGTCACTCCATGTCGACCAGCCCCCCTCATTAATAATCATGAACAGGTGGGGTCCTTCACATGGATCCCCCCCCCCCTGTCATTAATAATCATGAACGGTCTTCTGGGTTCTTTCGGTAAAGTCACGTAGAAGATCTCCAAAATCCTGAATAAACACAGTCAGCGCTGTGGCCCTGCTCTCCAGTGGACACCGACTTGAGAAACAATGTTGTGGATGGCAATGTGACCATGTAGTTCATAATCGGATAATTCTTGATGTTTGACCACACATCAGATGTCAGGCATATGGTCTTATTATCCAGGACGGTGTTAACCTTCTTCTTCATGTTGATGTACGCCCTGTCGAGCAATGGTCCGGCCAGCCTCTTCCTGTTCAGCAGTACTGCATCTGGGCGAAGGGCCTTCACAGCGATCACCAGATTCTCCTCCTCAACCCGCTGGAACGACATGCCCGAGACAAAGTAATGCACTGCTATGGCCTGCTCGAACTTCTCCTTCATTCACTTATCGAGCTTGGGTATTAGGTGATCTTTGATTGATCCTTGTTTCATTGACGAAGCAGTCGATGTAGATGGAGTTGAGCTGCTCGCTTGCATTCGATGGCTTCGCCCGCTTCTTGTTGGACGCATACCACTCGGGATGATCATCTATCTCAGTGCCATTCATTGTCCTCCAAGAAGTGGCACATGCATTCAGGTGCCTCATCACCTACTCACTCTTCTTGTAATGGTTGAATCTGGTGCGACAATGTTTGCAGACGGCACTCTTCAACGTGTGCGGTTCCGTATCATCGGTGAAGTAGTGCCACAACTGTCCCATCGAGCATCCTCTGGCCTTCCCTGCATTCGCTGACGCCTCGTCGGCCACTCAATCCTTCTCCGCATAGGCCACTCCATTCTTCTCCATCACAATGTCGACATCACTATCACAATCTTCGGAGTCGAGTAAATCCTCATCCAGGTCCTGATCCATGATCCTGCTCGCGGTGGAAATTGGGTTCTTTGATTACACCAGTAACTCAGGTAATGCCAAGATTTCTTATTTCTGGGCTCCGGCCTTCCGCAGTTTGTTACTTCAGTCAGACTTCCTGCAAAAACTAAAATGGCGTCCTTTTATAATAAACCTCAAAACCTCACCCTAACTGGCCCTTAGGGATTGAGTTTTTTTTTTATTTAAACCTTATCAAACCTAATTGTTAAACCTCGCTTTGCTACCCATGGGCTACAGTCTACATTATAGACTGCCAGCACGCACACTTCACTTAATAACCAGGTTAAAGTCGACATTATAGACTGCCAGTACACTCAGAGATTAAGAACTAGGCTACAGTCTACATTCGTGTTTTTTGTTTTTCATTATTTTATTTTTATTATACATTTTCAATCTACGTGACTTTACTGAAAGAACCAAACAATATGAATTCCTGCAATCAACACAGTTTTAAGTCAAAATGTAATCATCAGCGGGTCATAATTTTCGATTGAATATTTAAGATTAACTGCAATACACTCGTCCTTGGACGGGCTATAGGCTGGTGTAATAATAATGGTAGTGGTTGAAAACCTTTTCCTGCACACAACCAACTAAAAAAGAAACTCAGCATGGTTCAGATTATCAGGGCACGTCTTCGTGATTGTTATCTGTTGGCATGCGCGAAGGGTGTCACCGCAACGGAGCAACTAGGCCGGCACTACCCTCTCATCGCACCCCCCCCTCCACCCCCCACGGACGCACGCACGCCCCACTAAACACTCGCATACACCCCCGTAGGGTCTCGAGGAGGGATCACCTGGTACGATGGGTTTTCACCCGAGGACCCCACGAGCAGGGACGTTCCACGGTTTCCCCGAACCAGGAAATTGGCTGAGCGCCCCAGACCGGATTACATGGCGGCCCCCCAAAAAAGGGGGCATAGAGCTTTACAGGCCGGCCGCGATGAAGCATACACAACACGGGGGGATGGGACCTTCAGCCAGCGCCCAGCGGCAGGGCAAACAGTGGGGTAGGAGGGTAAAGCCCCTAGGCAGATAAGAGTTGATTTAAGTTGGAGGGTGCGAGGGAATTATCGATGAGTCAACGACGAGGAACGCAGGCACAGAGGCAATGGGAAGGGGGGGACGACGCGACCCCGCCCCCCCCCCCCCCAACGGCCAGAGCGCTCAAAACGGCGGAAAAGAGGATTCCATTGGATGTGCAGGATGACGTCATATGACCCGGGGGTGAAGGGGCTTTGGGGACATAAGGGGGCCGGGCGGGAATAGAATCAGAGTTCTTCTGGAGTGGCGGAAGAGACCAGCCGTCCTCAGCGTCCGTACGACGCATGCAGGATGGAGCTGGAAACGATCGACCAGAAAAAGTCCCCAAGGCAAACATCTTCCCCAGCCCCCATTGGGCAGCTGAAGAGGTGAGTAGGTACGGGAAGGGGGGCCAATTCAGCCTAGCTCGCAGTCAGCTTGGAGGATAGACGCACTCTGCGACGGCTAGGTGATAGGAAGTTCGGCGCTGTCCGAAGGGTGCTGGCTGGAGGGGGCCACAAACAGGGGGTCACTATTCGCTCCGGGAAATAAATCTTAGCACAGACTGACGTTGTGACGCGTGGTGCATGTGTGCATGTGAAGAGCGGTGGGACAGCGATCGGCGTACGACGGTGTGTGGGTGCCTATAAATCAGTGTGGGTGTGACGCGCGCGCATATTAAAATATCAACGGTTGTCCGCGCCGGTGCGTATCTGTGCGCGCACCGCAGTGTTAACGGTGAGACACGCGAGTGTCTCGTGTGTCTATGTGTGCACCACAGTGTTAACGGTGAGACACGCGTGAGTGTCACGTGTGTCTGTGCGCGCACCGCAGTGTTAACGGTGAGACACGCGCGAGTGTCACGTGTGTCTGTGCGCGCACCGCAGTGTTAACGGCGAGACACGCGTGAGTGTCACGTGTGTCTGTGCGCGCACCGCAGTGTTAACGGTGAGACACGCGCGAGTGTCACGTGTGTCTGTGCGCGCACCGCAGTGTTAACGGCGAGACACGCGCGAGTGTCACGTGTGTCTTGTGCGCGCACCGCAGTGTTAACGGCGAGACACGCGCGAGTGTCACGTGTGTCTTGTGCGCGCACCGCAGTGTTAACGGCGAGACACGCGCGAGTGTCACGTGTGTCTGTGCGCGCACTGCAGTGTTAACGGCGAGACACGCGCGAGTGTCACGTGTGTCTGTGCGCGCACCGCGGTGTTAACGGTGAGACGCGCGCGAGCGTCGCGCGGAGAAAACGCGTGGGTGGGCGGGGCCGCGAGAGCGCCGATTAATTTATTGATATCCGGACCGCGCGGGAGCGTTCGCCTTGTTGACACAACAGCCTCGTGGAAATCATTAATTAAACCCCACGCAGCAGCGAGTCAAACAATTACGTAATCCACTCCACGCGGGTTAGGACGCGCGAATGGGGGTGGAGGGGGCAGACGTCGCACCCCACCCGCTCGCGGGGAGTGCGGAGGGGGAGATCAGCACCTACTTAATGGGGAGTGGGGAGGGGGCATTAGCCCCCACGTGATTTCCCGAGACGCCTCACCTGGCTAACGCTGTGAATAAAAGCAAGAGAGAGACGCAGGGATGGGGTTAGGAGGAGAATGAGGAGGCGGCGGCGGTCGTGACAGCTCTGGATGTTGGCCAGGTGAGAGACGGGCGAGGCAGCACGCGGGGTAAGACACGATCACCGCGGGTGCGTGGCCCCACAGGGTGACCACCCTGGTGAGAGCGCAAGAGACCTCTCTGGCTCTCGCGCAACGTGTAAACAGCGCACGCGAACGCACTGCACATCAACACCTGCGCATCAACACGTACACATGATCATGCACATGTGCATTCACGTGTAAACAACGCACGCGAACGCGCTGCACATCAACACCTGCGCATCAACACGTCCATATGCGTGTTCCATATGAACGTGAACTCATACGCGCGAAAATACGCACGCACAAACGTATACACATACACACATTAACACGCACACACACATGTGCACACGAACACATCAACACGATCACATATCACACCAACGCACACACGTGAACGCACATACACACAGACGTGTATGCTAACACGCACAATAGAGGGCGACGCGTGAACACTGTGGTGAACTTGTGGTTCATACGTTTAGTTTTGCCCACTTGGCAACCAGCTTCTTCTCTCGTTAGGATCTATGTCTTGGAGTTCATTCACGCTTTTTTTTATCTTCCAATAAGAGTGTGTGAGAAGTAGCTTCTAATGTCGCTGTGATTAACCTCAGTGCCTCTTGTTCTAATGTGTTCACGCGTATGTTTTGATACTTATCTTGGGTTACTCAAGCGTGGCTGTTCCACACTCACCTCGTTACCTCAAATCACTCTCTGCCCTCACCTCGTCAGCTCATCATACTTCCTTACGTCACCTCACCACACTCCCTTACCCTCACCTCGTCACGCTCTCTCACGTCGTCTCAATTCCGCAAGTCGTCTTTAACCTCATCAACCTCATCGCCTCCCCTCACCTGCTCTCACACCCGCTCATCGCTCACCTCATCTCGCCATCGCCCCCCTCACTCCCTCCACCAAACCTCGTCGCTCACCTCATCGTCTCTCCCTAACCTCTGTCATCTCCCTCATCTCGTCCCCCCCCCCTCATCCCCCTCCTCTCATCCCCCCCTCCACCTCATCAACTCGTCGCTCACCTCGTTGCTCACCACATCGTCTCTCCCTAGCACCGTCATCTTTCTCATCTCGTCGCCCCGTCACTCCCCTCACTCCCTCCACCTCGTCTCCCCGTAGACCCCGTCACCTCCCTCATCTCCTCCCCTCGTCACCCCCCCCCCTCACTCCCTCCACCTCGTCCCCACCCCAACCTCGTCACTTCACCTCGTTACCGAGGATGGCGCCGCAACTGAGAGGGACGACGCTGCGCTGGAGCGACACGAAGGCGCTCGCGGAGTTCGTGCGCGCACGCGGCCTCCAGCAGCTCGTGCGAGTCCTCACGCAGCGGGGCCACGGGGACCACCCGCTCCTCTGGGGCGACGAGGTGAGGGCAACGAGGTGATGAGTGAGGCGACGAGGTGATGAGTGGACGAGGTGAGACAGACAACGCGAGAACGATGAGGTGAAGAGTGAGGGGACAAGGTGAGAGAGACCAGGGGATGAGTGTGGCGACGAGGTGATGAGTGAGGGGACGAGGTGAGAGAGACCAGGGGATGAGTGAGGCGACGAGTTGAGTGAGGCGACGAGGTGATGAGTGAGGCGACGAGGTGATGAGTGAGGCGACGAGGTGATGAGTGAGGCGACGAGGTGATGAGTGAGGCGACGAGGTGATGAGTGAGGCGACGAGGTGATGAGTGAGGCGACGAGGTGATGAGTGAGGCGACGAGGTGATGAGTGAGGGGACGAGGTGATGAGTGAGGCGACGAGGTGATGAGTGAGGGGACGAGGTGATGAGTGAGGCGACGAGGTGATGAGTGAGGCGACGAGGTGATGAGTGAGGGGACGAAGTGATGAGTGAGGGGACGAAGTGATGAGTGAGGCGACGAGATGATGAGTGAGGCGACGAGGTGATGAGTGAGGGGACGAGGTGATGAGTGTGGCGACGAGGTGATGAGTGAGGGGACGAGGTGATGAGTGAGGCGACGAGATGATGAGTGAGGCGACGAGGTGATGAGTGAGGGTACGAGGTGATGAGTGAGGCAACGAGGTGATGAGTGAGGGTACGAGGTGATGAGTGAGGGTACGAGGTGATGAGTGAGGCGACGAGGTGATGAGTGAGGCGACGAGGTGATGAGTGAGGCGACGAGGTGATGAGTGAGGCGACGAGGTGATGAGTGAGGGGACGAGGTGATGAGTGAGGCGACGAGGTGAGAGAGAGAACACGAGAACGACGAGGTGAAGAGTGAGGGAACGAGGTGATGAGTGAGGGGACAAGGTGAGAGAGACCAGGGGATGAGTGAGGGGACGAGGTGAGAGATACGAGGTGATAAGTAAGGGGACGAGGTGATGAGTGAGGGGACAAGGTGAGAGAGACAATGCGAGAACGACGAGGTGAAGAGTGAGGGAACGAGGTGATGAGTGAGGGGACAAGGTGAGAGAGACCAGGGGATGAGTGAGGGGACGAGGTGATAAGTAAGGGGACGAGGTGAGAGAGACAATGCGAGAACGACGAGGTGAAGAGTGAGGGGACGAGGTGAGAGAGACGAGGTGACGAGAAAGTGAGTGAGCGCGGTGATGAGGTGACTGAGAAAAAAAAGTAAGAGGACGCGGTGATGAGATTATTTAGGGGACGCGGTAAATGAGACGAGGTGATAAGACGAGGTTATAAGACAAGGTGAGAGGATGAGGTTAGTGTGAAGTGACGAATTGTGTATCTGAGGGGAGGAGGTGCGTTCCCTTTTGCCTCTATGCCCAGTCAGAAGCAGCAATTACAATTACACGCCTGTGCCTCGAGCCCATTGCAGTGTGACTGTGTGAGTGACAGGCAGTCGACGGTGGTTGCTCGCTCACAACAACTCGCTCCTAAAGTCGGTGAGGCTTGTACAGGGCATCTTTGTCTTTGGCGGTAGTTCGATCACGGACACCAGTGACAATTGTCTGAACTGGTACCTGGGATTCCCCTAGGACCACTCGGCCTCAAATGAGTACCTGGCACAATGTGTAAACATTGCCACGGGGGAGACAAATGCAGCCGGGCGTGGTGCTGGCCACCCACCCCCTGGTGTGCCGTGACAGCCTTCGGACGTGCTCGGCCAAACAAGGCTGGATCATGGACTGGGCCAGTGAAGCCAGTGCCCCGGGGCCTCGGACTGCCAGGGGGCCTCCAAGCGTCAGGCCGAGTGCAGTGCGTGGCCCAAGACTTCCGAAGGAAGTTGAACGTCAGGACCCTCAGTGCGCACAGCGCAAGCTGATCGCCAGGCCCCTAGGTGCTTATCGTGTGAGCTAACCACTATGTCCCTCAAGACCCCTCAGTGCTTACAATGTGAGGGCCCCCAGACCCCATGGTGTTTAAAACATAAGCTGACCACTCGGGCCCCTGGGCCCCTCAGCGCTTACAGTGTGAGGGCCCCCAGGTCTCTCCGCGCCATAAACATGAGGTGACCACTAGGGCCGCCGGGCCCCGCAGCAATTACAATGTGACGCCTCTCGGTTCTTAAAGCATGTGCTGACCACTAGGGCCCTCGGGCCCCTGGGTGCTTACAGTGTGAGTTGACCACTAGGGCTCCCAGGCCCCTCAGTGCATACATCAAGCGAAACACCTGGACCCCTTGGTACATACTACAGTGCATGATTTAAACGAGAGGCTCTCGGATAGTACAGTGCTTCTGTACCACTGAGACACTGGTTGGCACGCTACAATATGCTGTGACATGATACAATATTCACCAACACGTCAGCTAATTCTGAAAACAGGACAGTTTGGTGGGCGTCATATTATGGCAAGCCATTCGCTATTTGACTTATCATAACTAGCCATCCCTTTATTTTAGCCAGCCGCCCATTTTCCCTAGCTAGCTACCCATATGATTCAGCTTGTTAACATAAATTCGTTAGCGAGTTGCCATTTTTGCCAGCTAGCTGCCCTTCCAACCAAATTAGCTACACTAGAAAGCCAGCTAGGGGCTCGTCTTTGTTGAGAGCTTAGTTAGCCGTTGACTAATCAATTATAAAAAAAAAATACACCGCGGTTTTGTGAAATATTAAAAAAATATTCCAAAAGCTATTTTTTTCATACTCTAACGCTATATATAAGAGACCCAAAAAATACTTAAAGATTAAGGAAAACCCCATTATTTTTTTCAGTGGACCGTCTGTTTTTAGATCCATGGAAGTAGATAATGCTAACAGTTAACACATAGGCTTTCGCGACCAATATCATCCATAATAGAGGTTTTTGGGTTAGATCGCGTAAATATAAAAATGTGTAATTACTAACTTAAAGCTTTGTGACTGCAAGAATTCATATTCTTGGGTCTTTCGTTAAATTCACTTAGATAGGTTCAAAGAATATAACAAAAGATGACAAAAAACTAGACTAGCAATTGTCATCCTGATGACGATTGTTTCCACCAAGTAATTTTACTGACTTATCAGAAACCTTTGTTGGTTATTCAGCCAATAAAAAAAAGTTATCTTTTGAATTTCAAGCAACATAATACTCTCTGTGTCAGGCAGGAATAAAATACATTTGTTGGTAGGAAAAGCCACAGACAGATGCCTGTTTATTGGCTTGGTATGCCACAGTAATATATTCAGATACTTTTTTCACCTTTTTTTTTTTACAACATCCTTTTTAAAGGCTATTTCAACAATGCCTACTAAGGGCTATTTTCTCACTGCCTATTAAAAGTTAGGGTCGACCGAAACTGAATTTTTGGTTTTGGCAGAAACCGAAACCAGACCGAAAGTAAAAAAATGACTTTCGGCCAAAACCGAAGCCGAAACCGAAAGTTTAAGGAAATCAAAATGTAACCGCCTCTACGGGGAGGGTTTTCACGTAACTTTAAGATCCTTCAACAAACTCCGGGAAAAGAAGGCTCAGCTGATCGAGTCTCTCACCTTTCTGAAGAGATGCCGCGACTCTGGGGTAATACCAATCGTATTTACACTGACCTCTGCTCCTGTAACTTCTTCTAATGCGAAACGAATTCTTTTCAAAACTAGCTTAGCTCTTATCTCAGAGAAAATCAGACTTATACACACCGAACTAGATCAGTTAGACAAGACACTCTACAAAATATACTTATCATTGACGGCAACAATGTCCACATCGGATTGGGAACATGTACACAATATGACTGCCTCTTCAGCTGCTATTATGTCGACCAAATGTAAGGACAACCTGATGTCCAAATTTAACCTCCTCTTCAACAAAAGACCGGACCCACACACCAAGAAACTAGACGTTAACAAAGTCGTAATTAATTGCAGTAACAGTTCTATTTCCGATGGTCTGAAACCCGTTTTAGCTAAGGGTCTAAACTTTTCAGTCACACCTAAACACATACCAGTTAATGATATCATTGCCCAAGTAGACGTTGCTCTCAGGGACCTGGGTCACATCGCTGCAGACGTAGCAAGATCTGAAATCGCTGCAACCCTCAAAAACGCTAAGATGCCAGCTAGCAACCTCAGCAAAGATGAGCGTTTTGAATTATATAAATTAAAAAAGAGGGATGACATTGTAGTCCTCTCAGCTGACAAGGGCAATGCTACTGTCATCATGGATAAAATAGAATATAACAACAAAATTAAAGAATTACTCGACGATGGAAGCTATACAAATATAAAAAGAGATCCCACCAACAGCCTCGTCACACAAACCAACAAAATAATTTCTGATTCAACCGCATTAATTGATCAATCTAAACAGTTTTCGTTGAAACCTTCTGCTGCCAGGCCACCAAGATTATACGGCTTACAAAAAATACATAAAGTAGACACACCCCTTCGTCCCATCGTCTCTACTATCAACTCCCCCACCTACAAACTGGCTCGTTTTTTGTCTGAAATCCTGCGTCCTTTCACTGGAAAAAACACCTCTGCGGTACAAAATTCTACTCACCTGGTATCGACAATCAAGTGTATTTCCCTGTCCCCAGACGACCTGCTTGTCAGTTTTGATGTAGTTTCCTTATTCACCAAAGTTCCTGTACCTGACACCATTGCAATCATTGAAGACTTGGTTCATCAAGGACTAAACACTGAGGTACCCCCCCTGGTGAGACACTGTTTAACCAATACATACTTCACTTGGAATGGAACTTTCTACAAACAAACTGAGGGCACCCCAATGGACTCCCCCCTATCTCCGGTTATAGCTAACATTTTCATGGAAAAATTTGAGACTGACGCCATCCAGACTGCCACTCTGCACCCAACCTTATGGAAGAGGTACGTGGATGACACTTTTGTCATCGGGCCACATGGCCGGCCTGCTCTAGACCAATTCTTCGACCACATCAATTCCATACACCCAGTCATCAGATTTACCATGGAAGTCGAAAAAGATGGCAAACTACCTTTTTTGGATGTCCTAATAAAAAAGAGACCTGATGGTTCAATGAGCCACTCTGTCTACAGGAAAGCTACCCATACGGATGCTTATCTGAAACCGGATTCCCACCACCATCCATCACAGAAGAATTCTCTCATCAAGACTCTGTACCATAGAGCCCAATGCATATCCGACCAGGAACACATAGGCAGTGAACTCAAGCATGTACACCAAGCTCTTAAGGCTAATGGTTACTCCAACTATACAATCCGCAAAGCTATCACTCAAACCATGAAGAAGGACCCTCTTGAGGAGCCTTTCAAAACCATCACTTTACCCTACATTGCGGGGATCACACAAAGATCTCCAAAATCTTGAATAAACACAAGATCCAGGTCCGTTTCAACACATTACATAAAATCCGTGATCTGGTACCATCTGTAAAAGATGTGATTCCGGACATACAGTACCCTGGTGTCTACAAACTAAGTTGCCTCTGTGGTAGTAGTTACATTAGAGAAACCAAACGCCATGTCTCGGACCGCATTCGTGAACACAAAGCAGACCTTAAACACGATAGGACCAACACCTCGGCCGTGGCAGATCATTGTTATAATTCAGTAGGCTCACATGACATTGACTTCTCCAAGACAGAGGTTCTTTGCAAGCCATCTGGCTACCATGAGAGATTCGTTCATGAGGCTATCCACATATACAAGCACAGAGACAATTTCAACCGAGAAGATGGATTCTGGCTTAGCAATCATTGGAAGGATTTGATAAACCATTTCAGGTCTTAATTGATTGTTCACGCTTACGGTGGCTTTCAGACAGCATACATTAATTTTTCTCGTCCTTCTAAATAAACTGCCCAAATCGCTGCCCGTGATGCTAACGTTTTTTTTTATAAATAAATACAAACACCGCTTAAAAATAAATAAATACAAACGCAATAAGTTAATAATTAAACTAAGAATGCCACAAATTTGTTAATTAAACTACTTTAATGTTTAGGGATGAGAAAACGGAATAGCCTATTCCCACCCCGGGGCTTAGGCCGTGCTGCCTGGCAAATTTTTTTGGACGTCAAGCCCACCATCCGAGAGGCAAATCCCTCGCAAGCACGCACGCGCAGATACTTTTACATATAAGAAGAAGATGGACCACAAACGTGGGAATAGTGGTGATTCCAAAAGGAAAGCCAAAAAAATGGAGGCAAGAGAGGCAGTTTTGCTTCAAAGTGTTCCACTCATTGCCAACTTCTTTCAAAAACCCTCTGATAGTAATTATGATGACAGCAGCACTTATTGTCAGCTGTGAGGAAGGAACTAGCACTAGTTCATTTTCCAGTAATGTTGTCACTCCCCCAGAGCCATCCTTTGAAGGCGAATCCTCAACAGCTAATGGTATACAAGAACCATAATTTCCACCTCAGGAGCAGTTGGGCAGTTCACAAGAATAAAATCAGCAACCAAGCCATTCCTGGTGCTATGAGGTCACTGACTCTGCATTATGGCAAAGCACTTCCAGTGATATTGTTAAGTCAGTGCTTATTGAAAGAGGAGCAGTCCCCTTCCAAAACCGCAGTTAAAATACCCAGCTTCCGGCCGAGATACAGAGCTTGGTGGAAAGACTAGAAGTTTCAACAATGAACTTGTGAACTGTATATTGCCAAATGGGCCGAATGTTCACCCTTAACAGGTTGTGTGTACTGTTTTTCATGAAAACTTTTCTCCAGCAGGCTCGGTGGCTTTAGTCAGGGGTTTAATGACTGGAAGCACTCTGAAGGAATAAGGGAACAAGAAAAGAGTGCAGAACACAGATAATGCATGCTTGCCTTGCACCAGCGGACAAAGGGCAGTGCTATAGATGCAGATCTCATGCAGCAACATGATAGGGAATGTAAATACTAGAGGAACATTTAAAACAAGAGTTGTAGCAATGATGAAGTTCTTGGGTGAAAGAGAACTTGCGTTTAGGGGAGATGATCAACGGTTTGGGTCAACCCATATCGGTAATTTGTTTGGCATCCGATAACTGCTATCACAATTTGAACCATTTTTGGGTGAACATATTAAAAAGTATGGCAGAAAAGGTAGAGACAGTGTCATATTTGTCATCGACAATGTGAAGAACTCATTGTGCTAATGGTTTATAAAACTCGCGATACAATAGCAGATGAGATAAGGGATGCCAAATATTTTTCAATAATTGTTAACCCCACCCCAGACCTGTCACATGTGGACCAATTGACGTTAATATTCCGGTTTGGTAACAGCCACTGGAATGTGGTGGAGCGATTCCTGGGCTTTGAGCCAATTAAGAGGCACACCAATAAAAGTTTAGCAGACTGTAACTTTGATGGTGGAGGGCCTTGGGTTGGACCTCTCAAACTGTAGAGGTCAGTCATTTGACAATGCAAGCAACATGTCAGGAAAATACAATGGGCTACAGGCCAAGCTGAAACAAAAAAACCCCTCTGATGTATGTTACTTGCGCAGCGCATTCACTTAACTGAGTAGGTGTTAACACTTTAGACGGCAGTAGCCCAGACGCTGACGAGTTTTTTTTAAACATGTTAAAGTCACTATACACATTTTGCTCTTCATCCACACATAGATGGGGGAAAGTCTTTCGGGAGACAGATGTCAGACTGACATTAAAATTGCTGTCCAGTACTCGGTGGAGTGCTCGGGCAGAGTCAACCAAGGCACTGTGGAGAAATTACACCCACATTAGAGGCCTTCGGTGGTATGTGCAATGATTATAATGAGAAAAGAGATTATAATGAGAAAAGAGGCCACTGGACTTTGTGCTAAATCGTACACCTTAGAGATGATATTCATAGCACATTTCTGGGACGTCATACTTGACCGGTTGCACGCTACAAGCACGCACCTTCAGAAAATGTACATTTATATCTCTGTAGCAACACAGCTTGTCTCATCGTTGCGTGATTTTGTGGTGGGACAGCGCGATCAGTTTTAGGCTTTTGAAAGGGCATTCTTTAATGTGACAGGTGTCTCTCGGTCATATAAGCACGATCTTCGGCGAAAGAGGAAACGCAAAACATTTGCAGACAAGTGTGCCACTTAAGGGGAGGGAGAAGTTCAAAATAGAAACATTTTATGTGGTTATTGATAAGCTAGTGGCATGCCTTGAACATTGTTTGGACTCTTACAAGCTTTGACCAGTCTCTTTGGAGTTCTGTTTATGTCAGATCAGGTGTCTAACAGGGACGTGGACATGAACTTTGCCAACGAAGTCATCCAATGCAAGTCTTTCATATCTGACTCTGAGGGTGAGAAGTGCCCAACTTAATATTCAGTCAATATAGGAAAGTGGGGAAGGGGGGGGTCTCCAAAAGGCATGTGCCCAGGGGCCTCACGGAACCATGATCAGGCCCTGACGCCTACAGCACTTGCCCCTACAGTCTGGTTTATGCTATACGGGAGGATTTTGTCTTTGGTGAAGGTGGTGATGATGACGTTGGTCGTATGTATGTTGAACTTCTGTTACACCGGGGGGAAGGCCAATTCAACACAAAATAATAGTAATCAACAAAACACAATCACGTAACAAAAACACTTGTCGTTTTACGTCTAGCGCCACAGTGTTACTTACGAATGTGTTTGTTGATATTTTCAGTCTGAAAGGGGAATCGGCTTGGCTGTGATGACAATGCCGTGCCGCTATTACCTCCCTCCACCTCTCTGCCCCCCCCTTTTCTCTCCGTCCTCCCCTCCTCTCTCCGTCTGCTACCCTCTCTCCGTCTCCCCCTCCTCTCTGCGTCTGCCCCCGTGTGAGCGCGCAGGTCGAGTACATGCTCATCTCCTTCGATCACACGGCACGCAGGGCCCGCGTCCTGTTCAACGCAGAGGAGCTGATCAACGACTTGAGAGCCATGGACGAGGAGGCCAACCCAGGGTGAGACCTCCTCCTCACCATCCTCCTCCTGCCACATGCTCACAGCAGAGTGGCCATGCCCCAATGGCCCCAAGCAGTTTTTCAAACCCAGCACTTTGCGTAAATTGTGAGAATTCCCACTACTCCCCGCCCTCAGGGAAGAGCAGGAGGAATGCACGCAGGCTGGAGACAAGCAGGAATAATGACACGCAGAGGTGGTGAGGGGGTTGGGGATGGCGAGCCGATCCCAGAGGAAGAGATTTTCCAATTCAATTTTCGTAAACTTTCGGAATTAATTCGATTTTTGATACAAAATATCCAGCCTAACACCCATGCATTCCATATTTATGGAATCGAAATTACACTGCCATGTTATTTTTTTCAAACGATTCGTTTTATATACATTTCCCTTTTTGTTATTCATTATCGTCTGAGGTATTGACTTGTCACTTGTTTCGCCGGCGCATTCAAGGCGCAGTGACATCGACAATGCCAGCTGTGTGGCACCTGATTGGCTCACGAATGCTGACGTAACATTTACCACCACCTCTCAGACAATTCTGCCTCTCGTCTGATGATGCTGGGTGTAGTTACCTGCGAAACGCCGTACTCAAATTGTAAATGTTGTGGGTTTGCTCTCCAACACACAATTGTGCTGAACTACTAAGTAATTGGCATGTTTTGTTTACGTGACTAACCTTAATAATTGGGTGTTTCGGGTGGTGGCAGGTTTAATGACACATTTATATTTACGCGATCTAACCCAAAAAAAACCTCTATTATGGATACTTTTCGTTTGTTGACGAAATGCATAAGAAGATGAAATGTGGCATCGCAGAGCATCTTTCAGTTCAACGGTTATTTCCTACACGGAGTACTGTATCCTGTTTAGCCAGTTACACAGCTAGTTTTTCAACGAGGGTCTTTTGTGCATCAGCACGGAGCGAGCACAACAACGACAGAGTGATCCACGGTATGGAGGAACGGGCGACGTCAGAACACTAAAACGTGACAACATTAACCAAACGAACAGGCACATTGCACCAACGACAAGGACGAGAGGAGATGAGCGCTAAGGTGGAAGCGAACGCGGTCGACCGAATGCAAGCATCACGGGAAGGCACGGTTCATGAGTGGGTTACATGGTTCTCGCCTGTCATCTCCTTCAAAGTGGACGCTAAAGGTCTCGTGACGTCATTTGCAGGAGTAGGCCCGTTGTGCACCACGGGGGGGGGGGGGGGGCGCCACGGTGGCGAGATTTTAACTACCTCGCTTGGTATGCAGGAGGTCGTGGGTTAGATCCCGACCTTGATACCTGTTGTATATTTGGAGTTATCATGTTATCCCCGTGGTGGGGTGGATTTTTTACAGCTGCTCCTGTTTTTCCCTCCACATTTACCAACATGGGTATAGTTTATTTGGCTTCTATACATGTCCACGTGATAAGCCACTTCGTTGAGCTATCATTTGTGGCCAGGTAAAATAAAATTAATTGTTTAACAGTTTTAATTTTGCCTATTTTGAAGAAAAAAATACCAGCAAAATTACATGCATCGGAATATACATCAATCATCTCCACCCTACTATGACAATATGGCAGGACTCTACTTAAAAAGAGTCATTTTAGCTCAGTGAGACTTCCTTGCGCGTACAAACAAGAAGGATGAAGCAACACAATAATAATAATGGTAATATCTCTCCCATGCGGCAGGTACCCATCGCGGTGGCACCTGGAGTATGCAAGCTACATGCTGGAGGGGATCCCAGCACAGCCTTACGGAAGCTCCATGGCTGAACTGACCAACGTGGAGCAGAGCATGAGGGTGCGGCGGAGGGACATGCTGGCTCGGCTGCGCTCGAACGAGACGATATGCTCCCTCACCACCTTCCCCAGGTAAGAGGGAGCGTCGTCGGCGTCGCTCTCCTCTTAGTAGAAGTAGGCACCTGCGTGCAAGCTGAGCCCCTTTGTATGTATGTGTAGTATCGTAGGTCTCTTCTCCCTTGTTGAGGCTTGTATGTGTGTGCGGTGCACATGCTCAGCCGGAGACGAGGTAGTCGCAGAAAGCACTGTCCTTCCTTTATTACGTTCACGCCACCAACTCCGGCCCCCTCTCTTTCTCACGACCACGCTGCTGTACGACCAGGTCGCTGTGAAGATTTCGGTTCAAACAGGGAGGGGCAGCCTGCATGCCGCGTATACTGTAGTTGGTTCGCCCGCATTCACGTGCGGGCGACCTCGCTCACCCGCTGGCTCGCCTGTGCGTGGCTTCTGTTGATGCAGACTCGGCTGCCCAGGTTTCTCTCAGCCCGAGTGTGTGCCCAAGCACCGAGATGGGCAATCCGCATCCCTGTTCTTGCCGGACGAGGCTATCAGCTACCACCCGCGCTTCAGGTGAGAGTGTGTGGTGAGTGTATGAGTATGTGGAGCGAGTACATGAGTGAGTGCGTGAGATCTGAACAGTGTGGGGAGGGATAGTGTAGTAGCGGTCAGCGCGCTGCGCTTCTGAACCCGGTGGCTCGAGTTAGATTCAAAATCATGGTCAACAAGAGTGACGATTATCTGAACCGGTCTTGGGCCTCCCCTAGGTCGAATCAACCTCAAACGAGTACTTGGGAGTAAACTAAAATAAACTATTTCTTTTTTACTCTTTAGTTCTTTCGGTGAAGTCACTTAGGTAGAAAAACATAATAGATCACGACATTTCGATCGCCACACAAGCAACAGTCTTCTCTCAACTGAAGACGGTTGCTTGTTTGGCGATCAAAACATCGTGATATATTCTTTTTACCTACGTGATTTTACAGAAAGAACTAAAGAGTATGAATTCCTGCAGTCACGAAAGCTTCAAATTAAGATATTTCTTTTATTTTATCAGGTAAGGCCCACAGAGCTATGTAGCTCTTTTCCAGAAGCGACCTGGCCGCAAATGATAACTCAACAAAGTGACTCATTGTGTGGAAATGTATAGCAGTCACATACTCTAAACGCAACATGCAATTCCAGATATAAAGGCGGCGGCGAAGGGGCCGAACCTACGACTTCTTGTATACCAGGCAAGGTAGTTAACATCTCGCCACCGTGGCTCCCTGGGATTGACGTCAGGGGGCAGGGAATGATGATGCTGCGGAGAACCATTATGGAGAGCCGTTGCATTCATTTGAAATTGACAGGGACTTCGTCGGGTATCGATTTTTATTGTCTCTTGCCCGCAGCACGATTACGAGGAACATCCGCGAGAGGCGAGGAGAGAAGGTCGTGGTGAACGTACCGAGTGGGTATCATTCAAACCAGCCGCCCCCCCCTCCCCCTTATTTTCCCTTTCACATACAACGTACAACAACAGGAGTATGTGCTGCACTTCAAACCTGGCTTCCCCCCCCCCCCTTATCTACCTCCCCCCCCCCCTAGTTTTCAGGGACAGAAACACTCCATCCCCATTCATCGACCAAATCCCGCACGGTGACGAGGAGGCGGCCATCGCGATGAAGGCTGACCACATTTACATGGACGCGACGGGATTCGGCTTGGGAAACTGCTGCCTGCAGGTAGAGTTAAGAAAAAAAACGATTCAACTATTGCCAGGCATTTCACATCAGTGTAGAAAGTTGAAACTGAACTATTTTTTTCTTATTATGAAAACAAATTTTCATGATAAGAAGGCCCACTGAGCTACGTAGCTTTTTTTCAGAAGCGATCTGGCTATCACAAATGATAGCTCGACGAAGTGGGCTTATCATCATTCTCGTGTTGAAATTTATAGCAGCAGCCAAATACTCTGAATGTGTGATAATGATTCTAAATGTGTAGGGGAAAAACTGGAGGACCCAGAGAAAAAATCCACGCAACCACAGGGAGAACATGCAAACTCCAAATATACAGGCATCAGGGTCAGGATTGGATCCACGATTTCCTGTACACTAGAAAAAGTAGTTAACATCTCATAGCCACTGTGGCGCCCCAGTTAGACAAGCCTACCCCCACAGGGCCCATTCATGTCCACCGCGGGTTTTGTGAAATCCCACAAACTGGCTTACGACACGAAAACGATTGAGAAACATTTGTTGCATGCACAGATTTCGTTCACTCTCGCGCGCACGGAGAGACAGGCGAGAGAGAAAATGATCAATACGGCTTTGGCAGCTTTCTCTTTTGCGTCACAGGTTACACTGCAGGCCAGAAACATAGAAGAAGCGCGACATATCTATGACCAGCTGGCTCCTCTGTGTCCCATCATGGTGAGTGTCAATGAGTACAGCTGGCTTCTCTGGCCCATCGTTGTGAGTGCCAGTGAGTACAGCTGGCTCCCTACATCATTGGCGAGTACCATCTGACTGTGTGCGCTCGCCCTCCTGCAGATGGCCCTTAGCGCCGCCGCCCCCTTCTACCGGGGGCTCGTGTCGGATGTTGATTGCCGCTGGAGCATCGCCTGCGCCGCAAGCGACGACCGCACGCGACAGGAAAGAGGGCTAGAGGTAACGTTTAATCATCTTTTTTACCCCAGCTAATGCAATTCCCCCCCTTCTGATTGCTCTGTCTATGTTCACGATGGAGATTCCGACACCCCCCCCCCCCCGAAAGTGGATATCACCGAACTACCGCTGAGATCCCTAGTTCAAAGTGCCATCTGATCCAGCGCTCTTTCACTTGTGCGTCGCACGGCAGTCACACCAATATTTTCATTTTATTTTCATAGCCAGATTAAGTGCAGAACCAATTTAATATTTTCTTTGAAGTACTTTTCATTCAGGCAATGTGCAGACCCGACACGTCACCTTGTGACGCATGTGTACACACACCGTCAGCATAAGCCAAGAGTTACTTTTTGAATTAAGGGGGTAGGGATGACAAGGGGAGAGAGAGATATAACCGAAACACAGCTGACCCTCCATAGGGATATAACCGAAACACAGCTGACCCTCCATCCTGTGAACGTATTCCAGGTGTTGTATGAGGGGGGACCATCTGGCTTCCAATTCCTGCAGAACCAAATGCAATGTTGTGGGGTTTTTTTGTGCAAGTCATTGGTGACCTGGCAAAGACCATTACCTCACTGCGCTAGAGAGCACAGGTTTAATCACAGCCAGCTGAGACCTGGCTTCAAGCCCAGAACCTCAGTGGCACTGGCTCATTTCCAAGAATGTTTTATTTATTTTTTATAATCGCTCATTGACTGAGCAAACCTTGGGGATTGGCAGTCGACTGTTAAAGATTTTCGGCAGCGATGGCGAGGTGCGGTCGCACCAACGGTGTTTGGTCATGGTGACCTCTTGACCTTTGCAATGATTTTTCAGGCTGCACAACATCTATGAAGCCGTGTATTGCAATCAGGGTTTAATTCTAGATTCGAAGCTTTCGTGACTGCAAGGATCCATACTCTTTGGTTCTATTCGGTAAAGTCACGTAGGTAAAAAATAAAAACAAAAATCACAACGTTTCGGCCACAACACAAGCGGCCTTCATCAGGTGAAGGAACCAGACTCTCTCGAAGACAGCGCTGGAGTTAAACACAGCCAAGCTCAGACCGCGACCTTTAAGCTGTGTGAGAGGCATTAAGGTGCCTTGACAAAGGAATTAGCATAAAAATTAGCATTTAATTGGCCGACTTAGCATGATGAACGGTGTAGAGGTGGTGTACATGCGGGTGAACATGCAGGTTGGCGAGGGGGGGAGGGGGAGTTTACCTATTGATGGTGTGAAAAGGGAATTTTAAGAGCTGCGAAAGTTTGGGGTACCACTACTTGAAAAAATATACTGTACCATTGAAAATTAGTTTAATGTTTGGTTAGATTTAGAACATCTTTCCAATGGTTGCTTAATTTGAAACCATCTTCTCCGTTGAAATTGTGTCTGTGTTTGTAGATCTGAATTGCCCCGTGAACAAATCTCTGATAAAAACCCGTGGGTTTGCAAAGAACCTTGGTATTGGAGAAAATTATATCGTGATCACCCACAGCGTTGTAACAGTGATCAGCTACGGCAGAAGAATTAGTTCTGCCGTGTTTCAAATCTGATTTGTGCTCGCGAATTCAGTCAGAGACATGTCGCTTCGTCTCCCCGATATAGCAATCACCGCAGGTACAATTCAATTTGTAAACCCTGGGGTACTGTAAGTCAGGGATGACATCCTTCACAGATGGGATCAGATCACGAATTTTGTGTACTGTATTGAACTGGACCTGGAACTTGTGTTTGTTTAGAATTTTGGAAATCTTTTTAGTAACGCCTGCTATATATGGTAGCATGATGGTTTTGACCGGAGTATCAAGTGGTTGTTTCTGTATGGAGGGAGAAACAGCTTGGCGGATGGTACGGTCAGAGTATCCATTCCTTTTGAGGGCCAGGTGTACATGTTTTAATTCACTGGTCAGGTGGTGTTGGTCCGAAATGCAATGAGCCCTATGGTATAAAGTTTTGATGAGATAATTATTTTGGGCTGGGTGGTGGTGGGAATCAGATTTCAAGTAGGAATATGTGTGGGTGGGTTTCCTGTAGACAGAATGCGTCAATGAGCCATCAGGTCTCCTCTCAAACAGAACATCTAAGAATGGTAGCTTGCCATCTTTCTCCACTTCCATGGTGAATTTGATGACGGGATGTCTGGAATTGATGTAGTGTAGGAAAAGGTTCACAGCTGGGAGACCATGTGGCCAAATGACGAAAGTGTCATCCACATATCTCTTCCACAGGGAAGGTCTGAGTGTGGAAGTCTGGATGGCGTCCGATTCAAATTTCTCCATGAAAACATTGGCTATCACTGGTGACAAGGGGGAACCCATGGGAGTACCCTCATTTTCCTTGTAGAAGGAACCATTCCAAGTAAAGTAGGTGTTGGTGAGACAGTGCCTGACCAGCGTAGGTACCTCGGGGTTTAGTCCATGTTGTACCAAATTTTCAATTATATCAATGGTATCAGGTACTGGGACCTTGGTGAACAAGGAGACCACATCGAAGCTGACAAGGATATCGTCAGGGGACAGTACAACGTCTTTGACCATAGAAACCAATTGGGCTGAGTTAAGTACTGCTGAGGAGGTCTTGCCAGTGAAAGGTAGCAAGGTATCCGACAGAAAACGTGCTAGTCTATAGGTAGGGGAGTTGATCGTGGATACGATGGGTCGTAGTGGGGTGCCTTCTTTATGAATCTTTGGAAGACCATAGAATCTAGGGGGTCTTGCAGCAGAAGGTTTTGGGGAGGGACGTTTGGTTGGTTCGATTAGAGAAGTCGAACTTGTGATGATCTTGTTGGTTTTTATAGTTAGGCTATTAGTAGGGTAATTTTTTTTATTTTTGAGTAACTACCATCATTGAGTAGGTCCTGAATTTTATTGTTGTACGAGTTTATATCCATAATTACAGTGGCATTGCCCTTGTCGGCTGAGAGGATGACTATATCATGTCTCTCTTTTAATTTCGCGAGTTCAGAGCGTTCATCTTTGCTGATGTTGCTAACGGGTTTCTTAGCATTCTTAAGAATGGTAGCTATTTCAGCTCTCGCGACATCTGCTTGGATGTGTCCTATACCTTTGAGGGCTACATCGACCTGAGAAATGATATCATCTATCGGTATATGTTTTGGGGTGACAGCGAAATTTATTCCTTTAGCCAATACTGTTTTCAGATTGTCCAAAATCGGGGTGCTACTCTGATTGATAACAATTTTGTTAGCGTCTAGTTTTGTGATCTGTGGAACCGGGTTTTTCTTTGATAGGTGGTTGAATTTAGCAATTAGGTTACCTTTGCATTTGATTGAAAGTGAATCAGCAGAAGAAGCAGTCATGTTGTCTACGTGGTTCCAATCAGAAGGTAACATTTTTTGTGTTAACGTTAAATGAGCTTGTAGGAGAGTCCTGTCTAAAGTATCGAGTTCAAAACGGAGTAGTCTTATCCTCTCTGAGATTAAAGTGAGGCTGGCCTTAAACAGAATCTGTTTAGAATTCGGTGAGGACACAGCAGCAGAAGTGAGTGGGAAGGCGATGGGTATTTCCTTGTGGTCACGGCTCTTTTGAGGACGGTTAGCGTCTCGATGAGCTGTGACTTCTTGTCCCGTTGTCTGTTAAAAGCTCTAACAGATAGGTGAAAACCCTCCCCGTAGAGGCTATCAATTCTAGATTTGAAGCTTTCGTGACTGCAAGGATCCATACTCTTTGGTTCTATTTGGTAAAGTCACGTCGGTAAAAAATAAAAACAACAAAAATCACGACGTTTCGGCCACAACACAAGCGGCCTTCATCAGGTGAAGGGACCAGACTGTCTCGAAGACAGCGCTGGAGTGAAACACAGCCAAGCTCAAACCGTGACCTTTACGCTGTGTGAGAGGTATTAAGGTGTCTTGACAAAGGAATTAGCATAAAAATTAGCATTTAATTGGCCGACTTAGCATGATGAACGGTGTCGAGGTGGTGTACATGCGGATGAACATGCCGGTTGGCGAGGGGGGAGGGGGAGTTTACCTATTGATGGTGTGAAAAGGGAATTTTAAGAGCTGCGAATGTTTGGGGTACTACTACTTGAAAAAATATACTGTACCATTGAAAATTAGTTTAATGTTTGGTTAGATTTAGAACATCTTTCCAATGGTTGCTTAATTTGAAACCATCTTCTCGATTGAAATTGTGTCTGTGTTTGTAGATCTGAATTGCCCCGTGAACAAATCTCTGATAAAAACCCGTGGGTTTGCAGAGGACCTTGGTATTGGAGAAAATTATATCGTGATCACCCACAGCGTTGTAACAGTGATCAGCTACGGCAGAAGAATTCGTTCTGCCGTGTTTCAAATCTGATTTGTGCTCGCGAATTCAGTCAGAGACATGTCGCTTCGTCTCCCCGATATAGCAGTCACCACAGGTACAACTCAATTTGTAAACCCCGGGGTACTGTAAGTCAGGGATGACATCCTTCACGGATGGGATCAGATCACGAATTTTGTGTACTGTATTGAACCGGACCTGGATCTTGTGTTTGTTTAGGATTTGGAAATCTTTTTAGTAAGACCTGCTATATATGGTAGTGTGATGGTTTTGACTGGAGGAATCAATTGTTAATTGTGTGAAGCAATTGATGAGTGACGCAGAGTGACGCAGAGTGACGCAGAGTGACGCAGAGTGACGCAGAGTGACGCAGAGTGACGCAGAGTGACGCAGAGTGACGCAGAGTGACGCAGAGTGACGCAGAGTGACGCAGAGTGACGCAGAGTGACGCAGAGTGACGCAGAGTGACGCAGAGTGACGCAGAGTGACGCAGAGTGACGCAGAGTGACGCAGAGTGACGCAGAGTGACGCAGAGTGACGCAGAGTGACGCAGAGTGACGCAGAGTGACGCAGAGTGACGCAGAGTGACGCAGAGTGACGCAGAGTGACGCAGAGTGACGCAGAGTGACGCAGAGTGACGCAGAGTGACGCAGAGTGACGCAGAGTGACGCAGAGTGACGCAGAGTGACGCAGAGTGACGCAGAGTGACGCAGAGTGACGCAGAGTGACGCAGAGTGACGCAGAGTGACGCAGAGTGACGCAGAGTGACGCAGAGTGACGCCAGAGTGACGCAGAGTGACGCAGAGTGACGCAGAGTGACGCAGAGTGACGCAGAGTGACGCAGAGTGACGCAGAGTGACGCAGAGTGACGCAGAGTGACGCAGAGTGACGCAGAGTGACGCAGAGTGACGCAGAGTGACGCAGAGTGACGCAGAGTGACGCAGAGTGACGCAGAGTGACGCAGAGTGACGCAGAGTGACGCAGAGTGACGCAGAGTGACGCAGAGTGACGCAGAGTGACGCAGAGTGACGCAGAGTGACGCAGAGTGACGCAGAGTGACGCAGAGTGACGCAGAGTGACGCAGAGTGACGCAGAGTGACGCAGAGTGACGCAGAGTGACGCAGAGTGACGCAGAGTGACGCAGAGTGACGCAGAGTGACGCAGAGTGACGCAGAGTGACGCAGAGTGACGCAGAGTGACGCAGAGTGACGCAGAGTGACGCAGAGTGACGCAGAGTGACGCAGAGTGACGCAGAGTGACGCAGAGTGACGCAGAGTGACGCAGAGTGACGCAGAGTGACGCAGAGTGACGCAGAGTGACGCAGAGTGACGCAGAGTGACGCAGAGTGACGCAGAGTGACGCAGAGTGACGCAGAGTGACGCAGAGTGACGCAGAGTGACGCAGAGTGACGCAGAGTGACGCAGAGTGACGCAGAGTGACGCAGAGTGACGCAGAGTGACGCAGAGTGACGCAGAGTGACGCAGAGTGACGCAGAGTGACGCAGAGTGACGCAGAGTGACGCAGAGTGACGCAGAGTGACGCAGAGTGACGCAGAGTGACGCAGAGTGACGCAGAGTGACGCAGAGTGACGCAGAGTGACGCAGAGTGACGCAGAGTGACGCAGAGTGACGCAGAGTGACGCAGAGTGACGCAGAGTGACGCAGAGTGACGCAGAGTGACGCAGAGTGACGCAGAGTGACGCAGAGTGACGCAGAGTGACGCAGAGTGACGCAGAGTGACGCAGAGTGACGCAGAGTGACGCAGAGTGACGCAGAGTGACGCAGAGTGACGCAGAGTGACGCAGAGTGACGCAGAGTGACGCAGAGTGACGCAGAGTGACGCAGAGTGACGCAGAGTGACGCAGAGTGACGCAGAGTGACGCAGAGTGACGCAGAGTGACGCAGAGTGACGCAGAGTGACGCAGAGTGACGCAGCGCAGAGTGACGCAGAGTGACGCAGAGTGACGCAGAGTGACGCAGAGTGACGCAGAGTGACGCAGAGTGACGCAGAGTGACGCAGAGTGACGCAGAGTGACGCAGAGTGACGCAGAGTGACGCAGAGTGACGCAGAGTGACGCAGAGTGACGCAGAGTGACGCAGAGTGACGCAGAGTGACGCAGAGTGACGCAGAGTGACGCAGAGTGACGCAGAGTGACGCAGAGTGACGCAGAGTGACGCAGAGTGACGCAGAGTGACGCAGAGTGACGCAGAGTGACGCAGAGTGACGCAGAGTGACGCAGAGTGACGCAGAGTGACGCAGAGTGACGCAGAGTGACGCAGAGTGACGCAGAGTGACGCAGAGTGACGCAGAGTGACGCAGAGTGACGCAGAGTGACGCAGAGTGACGCAGAGTGACGCAGAGTGACGCAGAGTGACGCAGAGTGACGCAGAGTGACGCAGAGTGACGCAGAGTGACGCAGAGTGACGCAGAGTGACGCAGAGTGACGCAGAGTGACGCAGAGTGACGCAGAGTGACGCAGAGTGACGCAGAGTGACGCAGAGTGACGCAGAGTGACGCAGAGTGACGCAGAGTGACGCAGAGTGACGCAGAGTGACGCAGAGTGACGCAGAGTGACGCAGAGTGACGCAGAGTGACGCAGAGTGACGCAGAGTGACGCAGAGTGACGCAGAGTGACGCAGAGTGACGCAGAGTGACGCAGAGTGACGCAGAGTGACGCAGAGTGACGCAGAGTGACGCAGAGTGACGCAGAGTGACGCAGAGTGACGCAGAGTGACGCAGAGTGACGCAGAGTGACGCAGAGTGACGCAGAGTGACGCAGAGTGACGCAGAGTGACGCAGAGTGACGCAGAGTGACGCAGAGTGACGCAGAGTGACGCAGAGTGACGCAGAGTGACGCAGAGTGACGCAGAGTGACGCAGAGTGACGCAGAGTGACGCAGAGTGACGCAGAGTGACGCAGAGTGACGCAGAGTGACGCAGAGTGACGCAGAGTGACGCAGAGTGACGCAGAGTGACGCAGAGTGACGCAGAGTGACGCAGAGTGACGCAGAGTGACGCAGAGTGACGCAGAGTGACGCAGAGTGACGCAGAGTGACGCAGAGTGACGCAGAGTGACGCAGAGTGACGCAGAGTGACGCAGAGTGACGCAGAGTGACGCAGAGTGACGCAGAGTGACGCAGAGTGACGCAGAGTGACGCAGAGTGACGCAGAGTGACGCAGAGTGACGCAGAGTGACGCAGAGTGACGCAGAGTGACGCAGAGTGACGCAGAGTGACGCAGAGTGACGCAGAGTGACGCAGAGTGACGCAGAGTGACGCAGAGTGACGCAGAGCTTCTGTCCAGGGAGCAACGTTCTGGGAACCTGGGGGAGGCAAGGCCATGCCGGGAGCAGAAACATCTTCTGGATCGCCAACCCAGACAGGCCCCCGGCTGAATTCAAGCCCTGATTTGGCTGTGCTTCCTGTTCCGCGCCTGTTAACTTATCACTGGACAGCGCTTGAGATCTCGTGGCCTAACATTTTGCGGACAAAAGGTGCTCGTCGGTCATTCGGTTCGGCGACCTGTGATCAGGGGCGTCGCTGCTACACACCACGTTGCAATTAACTCTGCAGGGGGAGTGCGTACGTGCTCGCGAAAAGAGAACATTTCGCTCTGAACATTTGAAATGATAATAAACATCATAACGCGTTGTTCCCTCGGCACCGGGTTAATTGCCATTTGTTTTTACAGCCTTTGGTTGTCGTGGCCATGAGGCGAGAGCGTTGAGCTGGCACCGCTGAGAATCTTTACAATCAAAATGTCAATCCGTTCATCTCCCTTTTGCAGCCCCTGACAACGTGCAAGTGGCGAATCCCCAAGTCGCGGTATGACTCCATTGACAGCTTCCTGTCACCCGGCGGAGCGCAGTTCAATGACCTGGAGCTTCTCAAGGACGAGGACGTCCACCTGCAGCTCCTGGACGCAGGCACGGAATTTCTCTCTGCCACGATCACCTACCCTACCAGGCTCACCTCCACCACCATGCTCACCTCCCCCAACATTCTCACCTCCCCTGGTTTACTCACCTCCCCCCTTTTTCACTCTCACCAACCGTTTATTTGGGTTATGGATTAATCGCGCTTGCTGTGAAACACTGAAGGTTTTTTGACCTGCCGTGCCGATTCTACTAACAGCTGCTCCCACTGGTCGAGGGCACGTGACTCGGTGCTGCATGACCACAGGCATGCTGGCGAGGGAATCACGATACGTCATGTCGATTGTCCAGGCCCCCACTTCCCCACCCCCACAACCCATCCCCTCCAGCTCTCTCCTCTTCGCTTTTTAAACTGGGTTAGATCGCGGAAATATAGCCAATCTGTAAGGTTTGTTGGAGAGTAAACCCCACAACATTTACAATTCGAGTACTGTGATATTTCGCTGGTAATTCCAGGAGGAATTAAGACCGAAAGAGGAGGAATTCTCCAGATTTCTGGCTATCGCCTAATGAAGCTAACTGTTTTATTTTTTTGTCAGTGCAAATATTTTTTCTTCTTATTCGAGTGACATGCAACGTGTGTGTGCGTGAACTGTGTGCATGTGGAGAAGCAGTAGTATAGCAGCATGCTGCTCTACGCAGTTGGCGACCAGTGATGATTATCTAAACTGGTAGTTGGCCTCCCCTAGGTCGACTCAGCTCTCTAACAGCGCTTGCTCCCAGCAGCCTCTGTTCAAGGCCACACGGCGGGGATCTTTGTCTTTTTGCATGAGTCGTGCCTCTGGCCCACAGGCATCGATCCGCTGCTCGCTCAGCACTTTGCTCACCTCTTCATCCGCGACCCCCTCGTGCTGTTCTGCGAGAAGATCCACGCCGACGATGATGAGAATGAGGCCTACCACTTTGAAGTGAGACATCCACCAGTGTACTTTATGAATATTATTATTCCACTTGTTTACCCATAATGGCCTCGCCAGGTCCCAAAAATATTTTACAGGAGTGTGCCTCTGTTTGATGCTAATTTGAGGAATTTTCAGGTCATCTTTCAGCATTGGGATGTTATTTGGCCAATGCCGGTTGCATCGCATGGTGTATATTTTTTTGGCTGTGGGATGAAACCGGGGAACCTGTAGGAGACCCGTAAAGAACAGGGGGCAAAACACACACAAAGCATTCCACGCAGAAAGGTCCCCGAGTCGGGAATCTAACCCAGGCATCTTCCTGCTGTGAGATGAAAGTGTGTTGCTACTGATCCGCCCTTCCGACCCCCGAATTCCTCACTCGCGGTGTCTGTGGCTACCAGTCTCGTGCCAGCCTAACCGGTGACCCCATAAAATATTCCGTGAGAAGTGAAAGCCTGACTGGAGTACACCCACGAGGGATCGGCGCGTGTCTTCCGTGATCGTGGACGCTGACCAGAGCGCCCGCCCCGTGTGCGTGCGTGCGTCCGTGTGCATGTGCGTTGCAGTGCATCCAGTCCACAAACTGGCAGACATTGCGCTTCAAACCTCCGCCGCCGAACACCAACATCGGGTGGCGCATCGAGTTCCGGCCGATGGACGTAAGCCTCTCCGAGAGGGCGACACGGATTATATGTTGAGGTGGAGTCAAACCGAGATGCCTTTGAGGCTTGGGAAAAGAGGTGATGATGGGAAGAGGGAATTTCAAAGTAGAGCAGTGCGTGGGTAGAAGCAGAACGAGAAGCGTTCTGACCACGCAGTGTGGTGAGTAAGTGGGTGAATAAGTGAGCGGGTGAATGAGTTGGCGATTGAGTGGGTGTGTTGTGACATGCAATCGTGGTGGGTGAGCACAGTGCGGGTCAGATGAAGCAGCCAGACCGAGTCCCCAGTGTGTGGTGCAGGTGCAGCTCACGGACTTCGAGAACGCGGCGTACGTAGTGTTCGTGGTGCTGCTCACGCGCGTCATCCTCTCCTATGGCCTCAACTTCCTCGTGCCACTCTCCAAGGTAAGGAGCCGCATCCCTCCTCACCGACCGTGTGAGCGCTGCCGGGAAGCCCATGCTGGTCGCATTGCAACCCGGCCGCATGTATATAGGCTGGCGCAAGTGGTAGCACTTGTGCCTCGGAGTAAGAATGGCCTGGGTTTGATTCCCAACTCGGGCACGTGTGAGCGCTGCCGCGAGGCTCGACCTGGTCGCATTGCAACTCTGTGGAAACAATAAGAGGAAAAACTGGAATGGTGGAAACAGCCCGACGCTGCAGCCTGACTTCTTAACCCAGTTCCACCCACTCTTTCTGGACAAGTGCCTGAGCTGCGGCAGAATCTGACAATTCCAGATCCATCTCTTCAGTCATCTTTGGACCCACAAATAGTCCAACTTTTCTATGGAAGACAATTATCCTCGATTGCGACGGATAGCCTATGATAATGGTAGAGCTTGTGCCTCGGAGTTAGTATGCCCTGGGTTCTCTTCCCGACTCTGGTACCTTTGTGAATGGATTTTGTTCTGCATGGGTTTCCTCCGAGTTCTCTGGGTTCCTCCCATAGCTTAAACAAAACAAAAAAACCTCCACACATGATGCAACTTGTACGGTAGTCCGGTTAACAGTGACATCGGAATAACGGTTTTTGCAGTTAACGTTTCACCTCCCATAATGACCCCATAGTTTCGACTCACATTAACATTGTGACTAACGGTACGTTTTCGTTACGCACACCGCTCCTCATACACATACACATACGTGCACCTTCGTGAAACTCCCAGTGTCGCTAGTGCTGCAAGGTTGCCATCTTCTGGCTCTGGCCAGGGTATGGCAGTGCAGCAAGTGGATTCATTGCCATCTGTATTCTATCTGCAACCCCCCCTCCCGTTCACACACAGTGGGCTTTTTTCGAGTGCTCTGCTTCCCTCCCACGTGTACAAACGCACGTTCATAGAGTGGCCCGAAGCGTCCAAATACAGTGAGTCCTCTTACGAACGGGTTAGGTTTCATGTCTGTTCGTAAATCGATTTGTTCGTAAATCCAACTTTACTCCCGTCGATTCCAAACCCGTTGTATGGCATGTACACTAAACACAGGGAATGGCTTCAAAAGTTTAATAATCTCATGTAACTATACATGCCACTGTTTTCTTCATGTTCATACAGATGTAGATGCCACTGGTTCTTTATGTTCTGCAGATGTAGATGCCACTGATAATTCATGTTCTGCAGATGAACCTTATGGCACGACCCCGGGGTCCCATAAGCCCCCGGCTCTCGCATAAACTGCGTTGCGACGTCATTTTATGTCTGTTGAAGGTGAATGATATAGCAATATATTCCTCTCGACGAGCTCCACACGATACGGTAATCAAAGTTTCAAAGTTTGGTTTCTTCTGCGCATTCGTCCTCGCTGCACTTGGACGACATGACAACAGAATGATATGCGCCAGGTGGTAATTCATTATTTACGTTTGAAATCCGTTTATTCGGTACCCCGGGGTCCCACCATAAGGCTCAGATGTAGATGCCACCACTGACATCAATTGCACGGCAGTTGAATTCACGACTGTTCGGTCCGTTTGTATCTTCAAAAATTCGTAACTCGAATTTCGTATGCAGAGGAGTCCCTGTAGTGGGCCTCAAAGCTTGGGCAATTTCTAGCACCAGGCTTTGGTTCCGGCGCCCCTGAATCTTACGAAAACTGTGTAGCGTGTAACAAATGTGTGATTTTTTACTTTGCTACTTTTTAATTGCTTCTCTCAAGCACCTTTGGTGCAAAAGGTTACCGCCTGAAAGTTTGGCACGTCCCTGACCATCAATTCTCTTCTGCCGCAGGTAGATCAGAACATCAGGAAGGCGCAGAAGAGGAACGCTGTGCTGGAGGAGATGTTTTATTTCAGGAAGGACATTCAGGCAGGCAAGTCGAGCCATTTCAAATCATACGTTGTCTTTTTTTCACAACTTTACTCTGTGCTCTCGGTGTCGAGTCACGAGATGAAGAATCCATTCGGAAATCTCACATGGCAGTGACTCATCCCTTCTGCAAATGACCTCTGTGTCACACCGTAGGGGGCAGCACTCTCCCACTTGCCCGGCTGTCAACAGCAATGTTTGTCACATGACAGTCAAAGCGATATTTGAAGTCTCACAGCTGGAATATGGCGAAGTTAAGTGCAGAACCAAATTTTACGTCATGGATTTTGTAATTTTTGAACAATCATTGCTGACCGGGCTGAGACCATCAACTCATCACACTTGAGAACCCGGTTTGATCACAGACGGCCACTGAACCCCGAAGTGGAACTCAGGGTCTCAGCGGTGCCGGCTCAGCCACTCTGACCTCCGGGCCATCGATCCGGGCCTCCTCGCAACCCAAGCCTTCACCCCAGCCTGCCCTGAATGTTTGTGTGCATCACACATGCGCTTAACCTCGCTCACCGTCGCTCGCAAACTCACGTGAACGTCAAACTGCCATGCGGTTTCTTTTTTTTTTTGCGACCAGAGGTGGACACTCCGCCAGCAGAGGAGGTGGGGATCCTCATGAGCATTGACACCATCATCAACGGCAAGGTGGGCAACCCGGCGGGGCAGGGTGCGTGGCCAGCCTCGCAGTGTCAGGCCCTGCGGGCTCTTGCAGCATCGCGCTCAGCCTTTGCCATCCACCGCCATGGTGGTCCAGAGCACCGAAACAATTGCTGCTGTACAATGTCTCGCTGCCACCGTTTTGCGCGGTGGTGGAGTGGTCAGCATGCTGCGGCTAACGTCAGTTGGCGAGCGAAATCTGAGCCAGTTCTGTAGAATCCGCCACACGCCCCCCCCGTGCCCGTAAAAAAAACCACATGCTGACGCATGTGATGGATGGTCAAAACCCCATGACTGTGTGGGGAGGCCATCATCGAAGCGGTGGAGTGACATTTGTAAATTATGATTAGAGCTCGTCTCCCAGTGATCATGCGAGCTGCCTTCAAGCGTGCAGTTCAACTCAAAGCAGTCACTGGCACTTCCCGTGCTGCAGACTGGCTCACCACTTCCCAGTCATGGATCCATCCCACATATCATCAGCCATGATCAATACACTGCTGGATTCAGGCCTCCCACAAGGCATTTCCATCTGTCGCCATCCTGTGATGCAAAAAATCGACATGGCAAGCCTGGTGAGAGTAACACTGATAAACTGAAGGCTGCAGCTGACACTGCCTGCCATGGCGTGGTGTGTTGTGGTGCGGTGTGATCAGTTGTAATGTGGTGTGATGTGCTGTGGTGTGTGGTGTGTCCGTTTTGCTGTTGTGTGTGCGGTAGGTGTGATGTGTGGCCTGTGCTCTGATGTGTTGTGTGTGCTGTGGTGTGCTGTGATATGTGCAGTGTGTGCTGTGATGTGTGGGGTGTGCTGTGGTGTATACGGTGTGCTGTGATATGTGCGGTGTGTGCGGTGTGTGTTATGGTGTTTACGGTGTGCTGTGATGTGTGCCGTGTGCTGTGGTGTGTGCTGTGGTGTTTACGGTGTGCTGTAGTGTGTGCGGAGTGCTGTGATGTTTACGGTGAGCTGCGGTGTGTGCGGTATGCTGTGGTGTGCTATGCAAGCACAGGTAGGGGTGTTCCAGGGCCTCGTCCCCATAGTCAACAGCTTCCTGGAGGATATGGAGGTGGACGTAGAGACTCGGTGCACGATCTCCGACTACATGGAGCTCATCAGCAAGCGTGCGTCCGGTGAGTGCATTCCAGGGGAGCATCACCCCTTCTCCAAGTGCGAGCGATGATGAGTCCTGACCTCGTGCAAGCCTCTTCGTCGCTGTGCAACGGACGGCGGCCGACAGACGAGACAGGTGTTGGAATGGCAACCATAAGAGGGGAAGCAACCGAGGGGGTGATGACCGCGGATTGTTGATGGCCAGGAGCGTAGAAGCGGGAGTGTAGTATAATACAATTTAATTTTGGGACACTGTCCAACGCTGCCAACGATGTAGCACCGCAGCAGCCTGTAATGCCTCGGCGTGCACAGTGGTCGTCCATCGAAGCACTCTCTGGGCTCAGAAATCCTGCTCGGGTTGTGTGGTGCGACGAGCCCAGGCGCCTAACGTGCGCGAGAGTCTCCACACACCGCTACGCGAATGGGAGTGGTGATCGTCGTCGTCTCCTCCTCCACTGCCGCTGATGACGCTGGGGCGACCGCGTGCGTGTCTCGTTGGTTTCCCCCAGGCGAGCTGGGGACGATGGCCCAGCGGCTTCGCGCCTTCGTGAGCGGCCACCCTGACTACGCACACGACAGCGTCATCTCGGAGCGCGTCAACTACGACCTGATGCTGCGCTGCGACGCCCTGGCGCGTTCGCGACCCCACCGCCATGGCGTGGACCCCTTGCACGAGCTCAGCCACGGCGCTTTCCAGACTGGCTAGCTCACCACGCTCGCTACGCTCAGCGCACTTACCACGCCCACCAGGCTCGCAATGCTCACCATGCTCACTTCATTCGCCATGCTTACCTCGCTCACCGCACTCACCTCGGTCACCGCGCTCACCACACTCACCGCGCTCACCAAGCTTATTGCACTCTCCTCACTCACCTTGCTCCCCGCACTCACCACGCTCGCCTCGCTCGCCACAATCACCTCGCTCACAATGCTCACCACGCTCACCACACTCACAATGCTCACGACGCTCACCTTACTCCCTGCATTCACCTCGCTCCTTGTACTCGCCACGCTCACCACACTCTGATAAACCCAAAGGCCAGCGCCACGTCACCCCAGGATAGCAGGGACCCTGTGACATGTGGGCAAGACGCGGGCCATGCTTCGTTTTCACATGGCCCGTCACTTCACTTGATTTAAATTAATTGTTCCACGTGGCGCTTCATGTTATATTCATATAATTGGATGTAAAAAAAAGACAAGGCAATTGTAGAAGTTTTGGTGGTCTGTGGGTTTCAGGTGAGGTCAGCAGGTGACCGTGTGTGCACCCTCCTCCACCCGTTGCAGACAATTCATGAAATAAAATGCTCAGAAAATATTTCCGTCCGTTCCCATTGACACTGTGTGTGTTTGCTGTAGGAATCGGTGAGTGGTCATCGTTCCTGTGAACTTCACTCATTGATTCCTCCACCCATGTCCACACAGCGTTCAACCAGGTTATAAAGACAAAGACCCCCCCGTATAGCCGTAACAGACCGTTGGGGCAAGTGGTGTTAGTGACAAGGGTGGAATATGGACGGGGCCAGTGGAGCTAGTGCCCCGGGGCCTCGGACTGCCAGGGGGTCTCCAAGCCTCAGGCCGAGTGCGGTGCGTGGCCCAAGACTTCCAAAGGAAGTTGAACGTCAGGACCCTTAGTGCACACAGCGCAAGCTGATCGCTAGGCCCCTGGGTGCTTATCGTGTGAGCTAACCACTATGGCCCCCAAGACCCCTCAGCACTTACAATGTGAGGGCCCCCAGGACCTTTGGTGTATAAAACGTGAGCTGACCACGACTGCCCCCCAGACCCCGCGGCGCTTACAATGTAAGGGCCCCCAGACCCATAGGTGTTTAAAATGTAAGCTGAGCACTCGGGCCCCTGGGCCCCTCAGCGCTTACAGTGTGAGGGTCCCCAGGCCTCTCCGTGCTTAAAGCATGAGGAGATCACTAGGCCCCTCGGACCCCGCAACGCTTACAATGTGAGGCCCCTCAGTTCTTAAAGAGTGAGCTGACCACTAGGGCCCTAAGTCCCCTGGGTGCTTACAGTGTGAGTTGACCACAATGGCCCCCAGACCCCTCAGTGCATACATCGTGTGTAACACCTGGGCCCCTTGGTACATACAGTGCATGCTTTAAACAAGGGCATCTCGGACAGTAGAGTGCTTCTGTAAAACTGAGCCACTGGTTGGCACACTACAATATGCAGTGACATGATACAATATTCACCAACAAGTCAGTTCGTTATGAAAAACAGGACAGTTTGGAGGGCGACATATGGCAAGCCATTCGTTATTTGACTTACCTTAACTCGCCATCCCTTTATACTAGCTAGCTGCCCATTTTCCTTAGCTAGCTGCCCATATGATTCAGCTTGTTAACATAAATTAGCTAGCTGCCATTTTTGCCAGCTCTCGCTGCCCTTACAACCAAATTAGCTGCACCAAAAAGCCAGCTAGTTAAACCGAGGGCTCGTCGTTTGTTGAGAGCTTAGACGTTGAATAATCAATTATTAAAAATACATCGCAGTTTTGTAAAACATTGAAAACAATATTTCAAAAGCTATATTTTTACATACACTAGCGCATATACAGTATAAGAGACCCAATCCATACTTAAGGATTGAGGAAAACCCCATTCATTTTTTCAATAGACCATCTGTTTTTTATATCCACGGAAGTCGATAATACTAACGTTGACATGCAAATTGTCGACAGCTCTTACGAGCTACTTTTTCCCTCCCCATCGATGGGGTGTGGCCTACGTAATTGGTGGAAACCAATTACTTGGTGGAAACCTTTGTTGGTTGTTCAGCCAATGAAAAGGTATCTTTAGAATTTCAAGCAACATAATTATCTTTGTGTCAGGCAGGTATACAATACATTTATTGGCAGGAAAAGCCACCGACAGATGCCTGTTTTCTTGCCTGGTACGCCACAGTAATATATTCATCGAATTTTTCATTTTTAAAAAAAACGCCTTTTTAAAGGCTATTTCAACAATCCCTCCGAAGAGCTATTTTCCAACAGCCTTTTTAAAGGGTAAGGGTTATTTTATTTTATGTTCTTTTCTATTTTTTTCATTTATCTACTGAAAGCTGCCTTTAGGTTCAAGTCTTATATATAACTAGCGGCAAGTACCCGGCGTTGCACGGGCGAAAAAGGCAGACACACACATGGACTTACACACAGATATCGACCCACACACATAGAAACACATCGACCTAGTCGCACACACACATATGGATAAACCCAGGATGGATCGTTAGAAGGCCAGCCTAAAGGTTTCTAACCGGAGAAGATGTTCCATTAGGTGGGTGCACGTTTCGCAAGCCTAGAGAAGGGAGGAAATTACCGTGGCTGAAGACCTGGAGCTTAATGCGGAGCGAGAGACCAGGTAGCTTCCACACAGCGTAACGCGGCCGATAAAAGATAATGGCGCTCAACTGATTTGGAGTGGGACCTCTGCTGTTAAACCGGAGCCGGTCATGGGCACACTGGGCAGGTATGGGAATCTCTGCAATCTCTCCACAACTGCCGCATCACCAATTGTGAGTTGTGGGGGTGGATTGTCCGATGGTACAAATACCCAGGCAGGTGCTTAGTTTTGATGGGGCTGATGGTAAGGCCCCACCTCTTAGTGCCAAGCTCCATGTTCAGCAAGCAGTGCCTCCAACTCCTCTGAGTGAGCAGCAATCACCAGAGCATCGGCATACAAAACATGATCAATAGGGAGCCATCTCTTGACCGCACCTGGGCATCAATCAGCCTCCCATTGTATCTGTAGCTTAGAGTAATTCCTCCGGTACATCCATTGAAGGCTTCCCAAACTACGTGGTCAAAAGATATATTAAATAATGTGGGAGGCAGAGGACATCCCTGTCGCACCCCAAGGTGTAGAGGGAATGGCTCTGACTGACGGGCACGAAGTTTGACGTGGGGCTGCTCACCATCAGGAAGGTCCTTAAGGATCGTGAGCAAAGGGTGAGGGACTCCGAAAGCATTAAGAACAACCCAGAGACCAGGCCCTACTGATGGTACCATAGGCCTTGACCAGGTCAATAAAGCACATACATTCACTCACACGCACACATGGACCTACAGACACGCAAATGGACTTACACTGACTCACGTTTTATTAAATTAAAATAAACACCCAATAGATTACATTAGCAGCGGGCACGCGGTCAATAACGAAAACAAATATTAACACAGTAGTGGCTTAATTACAAAATAAAACGATATACGATTAATACCTTTTGTTGTTTATTTTATTTATTATTTATTATTTTTAATCGTGATTTAGTGTGCCGTGTGTATAATGTGTACACGTGTGTATAATGTATGTGTGTAATGTGTACAAGTGTGTGTATAATGTATGTGGTAATGTGTACAAGTGTGTGTATTATGTATGTGTATAATGTGTACATGTGTGTATAATGTGTATATAATGTGTTCGTGTGTATATGTGTATAATGTGTATAAGTGTGTGTATAGGTCTATGTATAATGTATGTGTGTATATGAAGTGTGTGTATATTGTGCACTGTGTTGGTGTGTACTGTCGAGAAGAGTTGAATGGACTTAGTAAGTGTGTCACTACCCAACCACGTGTCTCTCTCCCCGTGTCCCTCTCCTTGTGTCTGTGTCTCCCCGTGTCTCGTCCCGTGTCTTCATGTCTCTCCGTATCTCTCCCGTGTCTTTACTTATGTCTGTGTCTCCCCGTGTCTCTCTCCCCGTGTCTCTCTCCCCAAACACGAACGATACAACAACACGACGTTCGGAGTACAAAGTTGAGGGAGAGAGAGAGAAATGAGCATTTTCCCGGCGGGCGTAACTGGGTGGGGCCGTGGGCTTCCAGTTACTGTAGCGGCCTAGTGCGTGCTCCGTCCACTGCTGCCTTGAGGGAGAGACGCGCTCTCTCCACTGCTGCCCTGAGGCAGGGCCGTGCCCCGTCCACTGCTGCCCGGAGGGAGCCCCGTGCTCTCCACTACTGGCTTGAGGGAGAGCCGCGCTATCTCCACCGCTGCCGTGAGGGAGCCAGACTCTCTCTCTCTCCCCTGCTGCCCTGAGGCAGGGTTGTGCTCCGTCCACTGCTGCCCTGAGGGAGAGCCGTGCTCTGTCCACTGCTGCCCTGAGAGAGAGTCGCGCTCTCTCCACTGCTGCTGCCCCGAGATGTCGCGGGCACTGCCCCAGAGCAAGGAGGCGCTGCTGCAGTCGTTCAACAAGCGGCTCAAGGACAACGTGCGCTCCATCCTGGACAACTTCACGGAGATCATTCGAGACGGCCAAGGGTTGTGAATGAAGAGTCCCCTGTGTGGGCTTCAGTGGGGCCGTCTGGACGGGCAGCAGAGACACGAGAGGCCAAGAAACGACATTCCAGTCGTGGGCTGAGCTCAAGGAGGGCTAGCTCGAGCACCATCCTGTGGCGGGGAAAGGAGGCGGTGCAAGCGGTTCCGCTGAGCCCACAACAGCCAAGAATCTGCTGTCTGGGAGAGGGGGTTGGGCGCTGTTAAACCCTAGCACATGGGCGAGAAGCCGTGCATGTGTGACGAGTGCGGCAAGACGTTTTTCTCACGCTCGGCCTACAAGTATATATATTTTTTTCTTTTCCACTTGTGTGTAAATCTGTGTAAACCCCGGATATTTTAGAGATGGCAATTCTCCTGCTGTGTATCCTACTGCTGTCCCTCCCGGCCATATCTAGTGCCACACTCAACTCTACAAACGGCTACCCTCGTTATTTTGCGTCAATACTTGTTGCTCGATTTGCCACTACACCTGCAAATGAAACAGCTCATAGACACTTCTACACTCCATCATTGTATCCTTTTAAACCCTATCTTTGTCCCATTACTTCACCAGCACTCCTTCCAAACTTCATTCTGCTCTTAAAAATAACACCATCTGCGAGCTGCTGCTATTCGTCCAAGGTTCGCCGCTCTTCATCCTTTCACAGAAAATACTTATGCAAACTGTTAATTCTACTTTTCTTATTTCTGGGTGGTATTGAGCTTCATCCTGGCCCAAATGAAAAGAGCTCGTATAATTCTGTAGATTTTTCTGGCAGGAAAGGTGTTGGTGTTGTACATGTCAACATCAGAGGGCTTGTGATTAAATTAAGTCAACTAAAACTAGAAGTGGCAAATCTTGACCCGGACATTTTTTGCCTAACAGAAACATTTCTCACTCCTGCCGTCAATGACTTGCAGATTACGATTGAAAACTACAACCTTTTTCGGCTTGACCGAGGATCTAAAGGAGGTGGAATTGCCATCTAAGTTCGTAACGCTATTGCATGTTCACCAGCTCACTCCTTGATTAAAATATGTTGCTTTGAAGGTC